GCTTGCCTTTGGAACAAGATGTGGAACTCTCTGCTGCCTGGATGCTGCCATGCTTCCTGCCGTGATGATAATAGATTGAACCTCAGAACCTGTAAGCCAGCCCCAATTAAATGTTGTCCTTTGTAAGAGTTGCCTTGGTCATGATGTCTCTTTACAACAATATAAACCCTAACTAAAACACATACCCAATTCAGTAAATTTTTTATTTTTTCTTTCAAAATAAAACTCCTTTAAGAAGAAAGAAAGAAGGAAGGAAAGAAGGAATGAGAAAAAGAAAGAAAGAGAAAGAAAAGTCAATGTGGCAGGACCTGAGGAAGGTTAAGAAGTTGAGATCAGCCAGGCAGTGGTGGCGCACGCCTTTAATCCCAGCACTTGGGAGGCAGAGGCAGGAGGATTTCTGAGTTCGAGGCCAGCCTGGTCTACAGAGTGAGTTCCAGGACAGCCAGGGCTATACAGAGAAACCCTGTCTCAAAACAAACCAAACCAAACCAAAACAAAACAAAACAAAACAAAACAAAACAAAACAAAACAAAACAAACCAAACCAAACCAACCAACCAAACAAACAAACAAAAAAAGAAGTTGAGATCAGGCTAGTTCCACAGGCAGGTATTTTAGGTCAGGTTCAAAACTGTGGAGTGTGGGGGCTGGAAAGATGGCTCACTGGTTAAGAGGCATATATCCAAGTTGGTTCTCAGCACCCATGTTGGCAACTGGGAACTGTATGTATCAGGTCTTTGATGTTACCCCGGGCCCACCTTCTGATGTACTTGCATGCACATAAGCTTATGTAGGCATACATTTAAATAAACAAAAAAATCTTAAAAGAGGAAAAAAAAAAACTGTGAAATGTCTTCTAAGACCACTGAGAAAACATGAAGGATTTTTAGCAAATAAACTATCTGTAACTAAAGTTAGAGAGGATCCAACACCCTCTTCTAGCTTCCACGTGCATGACATGTGCATGTGTTCGCACACAAACACAGAGGCAAAACAGCCAAACACATAAAATAAACCTTTAAAACCTTTTCATACTCTACCATATTAAAATTAACTTTGAATGAATATTTAATAGTTTTTGTTGTTTTGTTTTAAAAGATAGGGTGTACTATGTACCCCTGGCTGGCCTTGAACACACAGAGCTCTCCCTCTACAGTGCTGAGATGAAAGGTTTACACTACCATTCCTACTTTATATATGACTTCGTAGTATAAAGGTATTGGTCAACTACAAAATATTGGTTCACTAGCTTATACAAATTTCATGAAATGTTAAGATATTCCATTGTAAATTTCTTTTTCTTTTTTGAGACAGGATCTCATGTAGCCTAAGCTGGTCTCAAACTGAACTAGTACTTAGCTTGGTTGGAATTACCCTTGAATTTCTGATCCTCCTGCTTCCACCTCCCAAATTCTGGGATGAAAACCACATCCCACCATTCCAGGCTTTTAAAAAAAATCATATTTATAATACCAATAGTGAATTATCAGAAATTAAGTATTAGAAGTTGTTAAAGTCATGACAGTAAATCTAAATCTTCCAAATTTCTAATTTTCATTTGACAAGTCCTTTTATCATTTGCAGTAAACACTATCTTGTTTTCCTTATCGTGATGAAATAACTTTGTTTACTCTTGAGAAAATGCCTAAAGGTAGATACTCATGTCTGAAAAGCCAATCATTATTTCTAAGAAAAACAGAACATAAGGTAAGTTGCTAGTTCATCTTACAATTCACTGTACAAGAGTTTCTCCTTAAAACAATTGCTTCAGTATGAAAGTATACCTTTATACACACTCACATTTCACCACGCAGAATAGTTAAAAATCATGTACTTTAAGATAGCTCATCAGGTAAAAGTGCTTGCTTCCAAGTCTGACAACCCAAGTTCATCATCAACTTCTAGAACTCACAAGGCAGAATGAGAGAAATAATTCCTCTTTGCAAATTAACGTGACCACATGTGTGCCCATATACGTATATACACAAAATAAAATAACAAATACAAATTAAGAATTAAAATTAACAATCTTTTTTATTGTGTCCTTGATAAAGCACTCTTAAGTGAAACTAGCAAACTTTCCTCTTCCAAAATGCAGTGGACAGCAGTAAGGAGAACGAACAGCTGTAATAGTTCAGTGCTGTTGACTTGAGTCATGGTAAAGAGCCAGTAATTTCTTTTTCTCTTCCCCCCATTAATTTGTGTATTTGCTTTACATGCCAATATAAGCCCCCTCCTTTTAGTCCCTCACCCAACACTTCCTCTCCCTCCCTCTCCCCTTCTCCTCTGAAAAGGAGAGGACTCCAGGCACATGCAGAACTAGGTACATCCTCTCCCACTAAGGATAGACAAGGCAGCCTAGTTGGGGGTAACAGGATACACAGGAAGAAAAGAGTCAGAGACAACCCCCACTCCAGTTGTTTGGGGACCACATGAAGACCAAGCCGCACATCTGCTACATATGTGCAGGAGCCAGTAATTTCACCCACTGCTTTGGCACCATCAGTGCAAATATCAACACAGTAAAAAAAGCAAATCATGTTTTAATCACTAAGCAAATAGTTTTGTTTTCAGAGATTCAACCAAAGGGTCCTTAGGGCTCCTTTCTCAGGGATTCAATGACCAAATTTTGAGAATTGCTGCCTTAAATTAATTGAAGAACTATTATTACCAGCTATGTGGGCTTGTGTAGTTAGCTACTTATATGTTTAGCTATTCAAGATGTAAAACACCCCCTCAGTGCTGCTTATTAGGATGGAGCGATGTGAAAATATTTCGCTCATTGAATGCGATTACTTCTTATAATGAATATTAGGAGTGATATCAGGATGTCAGTGCATATCTTTTAATAATCTACTAGTAGCCAACCTTTATACATTTTTGCTTATGATTGGTTTTCTAATTAGCAATTTTCACATTTCCTCCTTTAATTCAGACCTTTATAATCCTAGATTTAAAATGGATTCATAAATACTGCTGACAGATAAATTTGCCTAAAGCTTTATGTATACATAAATTAAAAAGAAAAAAATCATATGCCCCTCCAACTTGACCTCTCAAGCATCTTTAAGGCTTTTCCTCTGAGTGTGAATAACATCCATGTTCATTTGATTCTCTCCCTCCAAAACTGGCTTCCCTTTCCAGTTACTGATAAATCATCCATCTGTAATTAAGGCAGTATTCTCTCTTTTTTTCTTTCCTTTCTTTTTGAGATAGAGTCTCATTATGTAGCTCTGGCTGGCCTGAACTCACTATGTATACCAGGGTGGCCTTGAACTTACAGAGATTCATTGCTTCTTCCTCCAGAAGCTGGATTAAAGGTATGCACCATCATTCCCAGCAAATCAATCCTTTCTGGCTATGCAAACAGGATTTTCTTTCTCCTTTTTCCATTGAAGACCTGGCACCCTACTTTATTAGACAACCTGTCTATTTGTCTTCCCAGATAGTTTCTTTGTTTGCTTCTCCCTACCTAGACTGCCGTATTTCTGTGGATAAAATATAGCTGGGTAGTGGTAGCAAACTAGCATGTAGGAGGCAGAGGCAGGTGGATTTTTGAGTTCAAGGCCAACCTGGTCTACAGATCAAGCTCCAAGACAGCCAGGGCTAGGCAAAATACAAAACAAAACAAACAAACAAACAAACAAACAAAAAAACCCCACATAATTAGAGAAAAAAAAACAAACCCAAACTGACAAACAGGCAAACATAAAAAACTACTATCATTATTTCACTATCCCTTCAGTAATTATTTAGCACAGTGCCTGGCTAATAGCCCTATATGACCTCTACTAGAAACTACTTAACAATCAGGCACTGATTGCTTCCATATCAAAACAAAGATCTAGAAAACAACTACATATGGTGACATGCACTTGTAATCCCAGCATTATGAAGGTGAAGGCAGGAGAATCATAAATTTGAAGCTAGTCTGGGCTCTAAAAACAGACATTAAAAAAATAAATAAATAAAGCCAACCTAGAAAACTATGGCAGTTTAATCTGATTTACACCAATAAGCTCACTCTAGCTCTCCATATAAAATATATGGGTGTGTATTTTTTTTCCCTTTCTAGACTAAGTATTATTCTATCGACTTAAACAACAAGAAAGACAACCAGTATTATAACTTGAGATATAATTACTCTTTGTACAAAAATCAAGCTCCATAGGGCTGGAGACAGCTCAGTGGTTCAGAGCAATTGTTACTTTTCCAGAGAACCCAAGTTCAGTACCAATGACCACGATAGGCAGCTAACAACTCTCTCCAGCTTCTGGGGGATTCAAAGCCCTCTTCTGGTCTCCACAAGAATGTAAACGCACACACTCCCACATGCACGTGAGCACACACACACATACAGAAGCACTTGTGGAAGCCAGAGGACAATTTCTCCTACTACGGTGATAAGTAGTATCTGGGGAACTGAACTTAGGTCTTCAGGCTTGGTGGCAAATGTCTTTACCTACTGAATCATGTTGTTAGCCCTAATATAAACCTAATAAATAGTTCTCTCAGCACAGAATAATTTTGTTAAATAAAGTCAATTGTTTAATAGGTAGATAATTCAATTACTCTAATAAGGGAAATCAGTATAAACAACACCACTGGACAATTTTGCTAAGCATTTTTTTATATTAAAAAGTACATTATCATGAGTAACAGGATTCTATTATGATAGAATCATGTTAAGATTTATATCAGAAGTAATCTATAAAGCTAGAACCTCACTCAAACAAAAGACACTCAAGTTGCAAATTACTTTTGGCATAATGAAACATTTACTAACACCACTGTAATGGTTTTTTTTTTTAAAGAAATGGTGACATAATCTTCTTTAAAAACAAAACAAAACTTTAAACTTTTACCACCTATCCAGTATGATTACTTTAGATTTTGCAGTTTCCTTAAATGGAAGACTTACACTATTATTAAACATGAAAGTATAATTTTATATCATTCACTTTATTAAACACTTTGTATACATATGCTCCCAAGCTTTACCTTTTCATTTTTCTTGTCTGTCTCTGGTGGCTGTTTTGCAGTTATGCTTCGGGGAGTTCTGACAACTTCTTCCTCGTGTACTTCAACAGTCCGTCCATTTGGCTGCATAGGTAACAAGAAAACACTGTAATATCGAACTGACTGACAGATAAAACTAAAGATTTATAACTGGGAAATAACATATACAACAATGAAATTCTTCCCTGAACTAAATTAACAGGGTTGCTTTTATATGCCCGTATCATCTAAATCTCATTGGACTAATAATGAGTATTTTGTGGTGTGTATAAATTTATTGTTTTTAAGTATTTACTTTTATTGTATAAATGTTTTGTTTTACATGTATGTCTATTGGCCATGTGTCCTTGTAGAGGTCAGAAGAAGGCATTAAATCCCCTGTAACAGACATTATAGATGACTGTGAGCCCCTTTGTGGGTGCTGGGAACTGAACTTGGATCCTCTGGAAAAGCAGCCCTCTCTAGCATCCCCCTATAATGAACATAAAAACAATTCTGTACCACAAGTTTTCTGTACACATAGCAGTTCCTCTAATGAAAAAGAAAAGAAACAGAGGTAGTTACAAGGGGCTCTGAAATGTATTTACACTAATGATCACCATTAGCTGGGCAACCTCAGGACACCTAACTATCTCTAGATTTTATTTCTATACCTATGATAGTTTGGCACTATTCAAGAGTCAGTAAACTTTTTTAAAAAAGTTTGTTTACATTATGTGTACATGTGTGTGATTTTGTGCATGTGAGTGTGGAGGTCAGAAGAGGCTGTGGGATCTTCTGGAGCTTAGTTACAGGTGGTTACAAGTCACTCAATGTGGAAAACAAATTCAGGTGCTATGCGTGATCCCATTATCCAGAACCTCAGGAAACCTTTTTGAGACAGATTGTGCAACTCTGGCTGGTCTAGAACTCAGATTCACCAGACTCTGCTTCCCCCACTCCTCCTCTTCCCAAGTACTGAGAAGCAAACCTTTTCTCTATAGAACTAGACAGAAAATATTTTAGGATGTATGAGTCAGATAGTCTTTATTGAAACTGTAACTCATCCACAGCAGAAAAAAAAAGTAGGCAAAGATGATATACAGATGAATGAATGCATGCTAGAAGACCCTAATGTTGCTTCTAATTCTATAATGTAACGACTAAATCCCACTGTCACAGACACAAGCAAACAAAACAAATTACTTCATTACTAACAATTCTAAAATGAGAGTGTTTTGGGGCAGAATCAAGTCTGTGATCCCCAAATCCACTTTGTAATCAGAATCACTCCTACTTTCCCCTCCCCCCCTTTTTAAACAATTCTGAGCTCTATTTACAGAAATGGAGAGACTGAGGAATTTGACAAAAAGGAAGCCATGATATTCATCTATTATTCTTTCTGAATCCCATCACTTCTTTTCACTTATCTATTTCTTCATATTCAACCCATTAAAGTAAGTAAATTAATATACTAGTTTTAAAAACTTTGTTTCTTTAATCCCAGCACTTGGGAGGCAGAGGCAGGTGGATTTCTGAGTTCGAGGCCAGCCTGGTCTACAGAGTGAGTTCCAGGACAGCCAGGGCTACACAGAGAAACCCTGTCTCGAAAAACCAAAAAAAAAAAAACTTTGTTTCTAATATTTGTAGAATACACTTTTATCAAACTGCACATCATAGTACAGCTATGTACTGAAGGAAGAAAAAGGAATGTTAAATACCCATGTTTCTTTTGTACTTTTTCTTTGGCTCTCCTCCCATCCCCCTTTTGCCTTGTCCTATTTGGGTTTGTATTTTACTCCTTTTTAAGATGCATGTCTGTATACTAATAAGAAAGAAAAAAAGGTGCGGATTTGGGTGACTAGGGGAGTGGGAAGAGGCTGGAATGAGTCGGAGAAAGGGAAATCATAATAATTTGTATGATAAAATCTATTTTAAATTTTTAAAAAGTATCTATAATGTGACTTTACATGCATTGTTAAAAACAACCGAGCAGGAGCTAGAGAGATGGCTCAGTAGTTAAGGGCATTTGCTGCTTCTGCAGAGAACCCAAGTTTGGTTCTCATCACCCACATAGCGGCTCACAACCACAACAACTCTCATTCTAGGAGATCTGATACTTTCTCCTGTCCTCCCTTGGCACCAGACATGCATGCAAACCACTTATAAAGTAAAATAAAAATAAATCTTAAAAAATATCAGAGACCATTTACATTTTAAAACCCAATTTGTAGGTTTTCCAAAGATTTATGGCAGTCAAAACAAAAGCTGAGCAGGGCAGTGGTGGCACAAGCCTTTAATCCCAGCACTTGGGAGGCAGAGGCAGGCAGATTTCTGAGTTCGAGGCCAGCCTGGTCTACAGAGTAAGTTCTAGGACAGCCATGGCTAAGAGAAACCCTGTCTTGGAAAAAAAAAACCAAAAAACCAAAAACAAAAGCTGATTTCATAGCTGAATGAATGTCTAATTAATCAACATTTAATCTGCTGGATCTTAGCCTGTTAAAAAAAAGATGGTGAAAGCCAAAACTAAAAGTCCTTACTCTTGATCTGGTTTTCTCTCTTCTGTGTTGTTTGATCACTCTCTGGGTGTTTGTATGGAGTAGTGCATAGAAAGATAAGAAACCTCAGAAAGCAAGTAGACTTAGGGACATCTACCCCCTGACCTACCCTCAGAACCCTCTGATTCTACTTTCCAACCTTCGTCTTACTTGTCTTGTTATTCCCACATGATGGTTCCTTTTAAATCTTGTCTTTGTTTTTTAGGTGAAATCTTGCTATGTTGTTAGTCTCAAAATCACTATCTTTCTCACCCATCTTTTGAGGTGTAGGGTTAAATGTGCTACTACTAGTTTGACTTCTTTTTTCTTTTAAAATAGAAATGGGATCTCAAATGAGTTATTCAAATTGGCCTCAAACTCTCGGATATATGCACACTTTCTACTTCAACCTTTCAGGAAGCTAAGCATGTATATGGGAAAGGCATTGCACCCAAATATAGACTGTTTTTCAGTTCATATTAACTGTCTTCTCTAGCCAAAATCAACTGTTCTCATTTCTTGTGGTTAGTTTTTCCTTCCTCCCTCCTTCTCCCCCCTAGAGACATTGCGTAACTCTTGCTATATGGAACAAGCTGGCCCTAGCCTCTGGAGTTCTGGGATTAAAAGCCATGTGCTACTGCAGCTAGCCTGCTCTATCTATGTAACTGAACAATCTTTCCTCTTAAAAGTTTTGGTTACAATGATTAATAGCAGACTTCTATTTCATTTGAGCAGCTTTTACTTAACAAGACTGTGTAAAACAATCTGTATCTGAGGTAAGCATTTATAAAGTTTAAGGACTTCTAACATGAGCCTTATTTTCACTTAGGCATTTAAATTTTATACCTAGCTACAAAATTTGAACAACATAACTTGAAATTACTTGGAAACTAGTTAGAAACTAGAAGATCAATTACCAATTGCCACAGAAATGTGGCACATGGGTTTTGGAATTAGACAAACTGAGATAAGTTGCAACAGCTACCTGTGATAATAACCCCTGTGATTTAAAAATATTTTTCATGTGTATGTGAGAGTACATGTGGAAATTAAGAAGATATCTTTTGGGAGTTGGTTCTCTACTTCTACTATGTAGGTTCTAGAAACTGAACAAAGCTCACTGGCTTAGTGGCAAGCACCTTTATCCACTGGGCCATCTTGTTATCCCTAGTCACTCTGATTTAAAAGCATTTTTCTTGATTTCACTCTAAACTTCATGATTTATATGTATGAAAAAACTGTGTACCTAGCTTCTAGGGCTCTTGTTAGAATACACCAAATAGGACCATGTGAAAACATACCTGTTCAAGAAAATGTCCTCACTTCTGATCTCCTTTCCTGCCTAAAGGCTTAATGCTCACATGTCCTAATCTCATATTCAAGCACTTATGGTCATTTTTATACTAGCGATCTCAAAAATGTTAAAGCCTGGTGGTCAAATCATCCTGGACATGCATCCAAAAGACACAATGCTCTAGACATAAATTCCTTCAGAAAGTTAGCAGATTACAACTAATATGTAAACATAGTCTCTCCAAGGCTAAAAATAGCATAGGGTTTTCTTTTCAAGGGACAGTATTCTTGAGTTTCTTGTAAAACACAAAATTACTAGCCCAGTGTACGCCTTTAATCCCAGCACTCAAGAGTCAGGAAGGTTGGTAAAGCTCCAAGTTCAAGGCTAGGCTGGTCTACGTAGTGATTCTAGACCAACCAAGGTTACACAGTGAAATTCTTAAGAAAATTATGTGGCACTTACATGTGTTCACATAACTAATACCCAGTAAACAACAGAGTAATGTGTAGACTCCTACAAATCCTAAAACAGAGAAAAACATGATCCTGTTCTTCAGAAGTTTACAAACAGCAGAGCACGGTAGCAGCATGTGTTGGTTATCCTAACTCTTGGAGGCAGAGGCAGGACTGAGGCCAGCAATATAGCAAGCAAGTTCTAGATCAACATGCAATATCATTAGTCTCACTCCAAGGGGTTGGGGATTTAGTTCAGTGGTAGAGCACTTGCCTAGCAAGTGTAAGGTCTCACTCCAAAAACCACAAAATCACAGCACAGCAATGACAAAAAGGATAGTCTAACAAAGGAAGTAGAGTATACAATAGTACACACTAAAATAAAAAGGGAACAGTATTCCTATTTCCTTAGTTCAGATTCCTAGCACTTATATAAAAGCCAGGCATATTTGTCTGTAATCCCACCACTGTGACTACAGGGTTGGCAGTCTGGCAGGTGGAACAGAAGGATCCCTGGAGCTCACTGGCCATTCAGTCAAGCTAATTTATGCACCCCAGAATCAGTAACCTGTCTTAAAAGGAGAAAAGAAAAGAAGAAAAAAGTGGAGTGCTTGAAGAAGAAAATCACATATTCATTCATTCATTCATTCATTCATTCATTCATATTCTCTCTCTCTCTCTCTCCCTCCCTCCCTCCTTCCCCCTCTCTCTTTCTTTCATGTGTATAAATACTATGTAGTTTGAAGGCAAAGAAAGAGACCAAGATTGAAATTCCAAATGTGTGTTACCCTGAACATGTTTCTACTTCACTAGATTTTCAAT